TCACTGCAGAGTCGGTAACGACTGAGCGCCGATTAATAAAAAAAAAAAGGCATTTCAGTACAAAGATGAGTAACTTTCTTGTTATGCGTGCCTTGCAGAACAAACCCGTCTAATGCATGGCGATAGTTCAAAATTGGAATTGAGGATTCATTCTCCAACTGGATATGTCTCTTTGACGGCATTAGTGGAAAGAGTTGTGGTGCTAGTAAACAAGGTCCTATCTTCGTTTGTTGGTAATTGCTGATAACACTTTCTGCCATTCCTGCTCTCTTTCCTATAGTGCCACTATAGGAGTAGAGGAAAGAACCAGACATTATTGAATTCCAAGAATTGACTGTATAGTTTGTCCTGCTTTCAATTTTTATTTTTCTTTCCCAAAGTGACAACACAAGGTTCAAATGCTCATCTGTCTTAAGAGGCTGGTATATTCCTCCAGGCACCATCAGTGCCTGCATGGAGCACTAATGCCTCTTCGACCAGACTTCATCTGCTCAGGGCTTAAGATGGCTGTCCTCATTGGGAGTCTTTCCAATGAAATGTACAAGGTATCCTGCGTACATGTAGCCTGTGCATACATGGAGCTCCGTAGCATCATGATTTGTAATATATTAACTGGGTTCAGTAGTCACTTAAATAAATACTTTCCACCTGTACTAGAGCGAGAACATCTTCTCTGTCAAGGGTAGTGATCTTCCCCATGCAATTTTTGGAGGGGCAGGGCTGGGTAAATTTGAACTGCGATGGGTTCCTTGTACAGTGTTGTACAGTGGTCTAGCAACTTCAGGCCAGTCAGCCTCCCCTTAGTACACCAGTTTGAGATCCAGAGCACCTTTTGAGCAAAGTGACTTCACCGCAGGTATGTTCTGGGGAAAGAGAAAGCAAGCAATACTGTGGTGTCCTTAGGTTTTGCCTTTGGGGAATAAAGATTTCTGTAAAACATTAAAGGGGCCCGGTTTTCCTCTTAGATTAATTGTTCCTAATTTTCAGTTGCTGTTCTAGGCCTCATTTTTGTCCCTTCTGAAGTGAGCAGGGAAATCTACCCCAAAGACTTTTTTCTCTCTTAGATGGGTTCAGGTGTGAAATAAAGTCACAGTTTATTCCTGTAAGACAAGGTTAAGCAGCAGTCTCACGCCACTATCTATTCTACAGCTGATGGGAATGTAAAATGCAATGCGTGTTGCACTTTTCTGTCATGAATTAAGACTGACCTCACATACTAAGTTGATTCTGAATTTTCAGTTCAGACACATTTATTGCTATTTTCTCATTTTTCATTCTCTTTACGGATTCCTCTCCTACAGGAAAGGTCCAGTGCATAGTGGGAAAAAAGAAGGGCCTTTGGGGATGGGCATGTGCTATAAGGCCTGGATTTAAACATTTGTTGAAAGTTACAACAAATACATTTTTTCTGTTCTGCTCTCCTGATCCTAAGGAGCCATAAATTTTAATTACCTCAACTTTTTTTTAAAAAAAATAAGTATTTGGGAGAGCATATTTGTAGGGGAGGGAGAGTAGAAATTCTTGTTACTTGAATTATTAACTTAAAATAAATGAAGATTTTTAAAATTTTATTTTGATTAAGTTCTAAAGGAAAAGGGCAGAGATTTAGGGTACCTGTAGTGCTTTAGATTCAAGCACAAAAAAGGGGGTTTGGAACATGTGGGGGCCTCACGTCTCCCTTCTCTACAACTCTAAAGAAGCTGTGTCTTATCCCAGGATGATGTGGCTGCTTTAAAGACTCACCGACAGCTGTAACATGAGTGGCTTTGCACGTTCCAAGGCATCTTTTTGTTCTCTAATCCAACGGGCTGCACAACCCTCCAGGAGGTAAAGAAACCTAAGAAGCAGGAGCCTTTTCAATGGCCTTTGTATGTTTTTTTTAATATGTACACTCAATACATTTTATTAGCATAATATTTCGTTTAATAATATCAGACCTGATATTTGGCATGGTAGCTTTTGATCTGGATTCGCTGACAGGCAATGAAATTTGACTTTTTTCTAGGCTACTATCTTTTGGTACGGTACTTGAATGTTGCAAAATGGCTTTATGCTAAGAGTGCACTAGTTTTGTTTCCTAAAATATGATGAAGCTCTTAATAGACGTTGGTTACAGCTGTCAACTATTCAGTTCTCTTGAGGCCTTGAGTCAGTGGCAGGACGTTTTGCCATAGTTCAAGTCAAGAGAGTTGCTGTTTTTTAAGTCATACAAAATAAAAACTGTTGAGCCCATTCGGAAGCTCAAGGAAGTACGGATCATGTTGGAGGAAGGATTTCTCACTCAGTATGACCATCTTTTCATTGGTAGAATATAGTTGTGGATGCTATCTTAGAGTTGTGAAGAAGAACCTGTATTCAAGCGAATGTCTTTTTCTGCCAGCGAGAATGCCTGATGCTGAAGCCTCTCCTTGACATCCTCCCATGGAGAACCTTGGGTATTGCCCAGCGCCTGAGCAGTCCTTGTATATGTGTTTGCTGAGCTGAAGAGTTCATTTAAAGATTGCTCACAATTTCTTATAACGTCTTAGTTATGCAGTGCCTTAGCAGGTCCCATCTTACAATTTCTGGACAGATTCACTGAACACAGAACAAGATGGAATAGCAGGAAACAACACGGCAAGCCAGCTTGTTGGCTGTATGTATGATTTCATATTTCTCCGCAGATTCATTTGGCATTTATTCCTGAGTGCACATTTTGGGGAGTGGATTGCTAATTGTACAAACAGAAATTGTTTTGAAATTCAGATGTTTTACATTGTATTTAGACCTTTTAATTCCCTTCGCCGGTGTAAGACGTAACACGGGCAGAGCAAATAACCAATTTCCAAGCAACGACAAGAAAAATCCAAAAGCCCCACAGTAAAAGTATTGTATATAAAATGTCCATTATGCAGTCTTCTTATCATAATTCATGTTTAATATGTGTAGATAATTATTACCGGAATAAATGATGTATTTCTTTTTGAATAGAAATGGGTGTCCTCTTGAAATTATTCTTTCTAATAACAGCTTCATCAGCAACTTCAAGAGCAAACCAATATTTTCCCCAGTTCCTTACACAGAACAGAAGGCCTGATTATTTTAATAGCATGCCTCATCTACCCAGAGGGAACTGCCTTAGAATTATTCTTGGATTAAAAGTCATTGTTTGTGCAGCATTCAGTAATGTCAGTGAAATGAGAATAAATTGTAGCACTTTGAGCTTTAGCAGTAGGCGATGAAAAATCTCTCCTGAACAGATAGAAAAAGGAACTCCGCAATGCTATGATGATCTTATAATACCTCATTATTACAACGGAAAAATGGCTATATTAAATTGTTTTAGGCCATATCTTTTTGATCTAGACCCCACTCATAAATGTTATTTTTTTTAGCTTTTCTCTTTTGGAAGATTTTCCCCAGTGACAATA